TTACTTTACTTAGCATAATACTCCTTGTCTTGATCTCCTAATATTTTTCCTTCAAGGCCTCCGATCAGCCAAGCCACCCACCATGGCCCACCGGTGAATGTATATTCTAATCGTGGGCCATTTCCCTTTCCTTGCTAAGTAGATTACCAGGGACCCAGCCAAAACTCTGCCTGTTGGGAGCTCTGCCACTGTCTTCCACAACCACCCTGAGTGGGGCTATGACACAGCCTCTGTCCCTTTTTGGCTTCTCCCCACACACCAAGCCGGTCCATTTGTGAACCAAGCTGAGGCTTTTTCTCCCTTTTTTTAGCCAGTGGCTGTGAGGGGTCCCCTTGGTGAGCTGAGAGAGACACCGGGGCACCAGGGTGGGTGACACGGGCATCGGGATAACCTGTTCAGTTAGCTTGCTCAGTCCTGCTTGAGCCTGATCCCAGCTGCTGGGTCCATGTGACGTTATTATTTGATGGGCCCGGCTGGACCCAGCTCACGAGGGGCCCCCAGAGGCACAATCGCTTGGTGCCCCATAGCCATGCATTCTGTCTCTTCCAGAGCCTGGTAGGGCACCAGAAAGTGGGTCTCAAGAGTCACGTGATTCTCTGCTGCAGATGGCCTGGCCTTGCTCCAGAACCCCCAAGGTCCTCCCACTCACACTTCCCATAAGCTCCACATTGCATCTTTTCCCACTACTGGCTTATCCGGTATCATAGGATCTGCGGGGTCATATGGCCTAAGTGGAAAGATGGCTGGTACCGTGGTCTGGCCCTCCTGTGGATCCCTTTCTGCTCTGGCCCCTGTTCAGGGAGGGCAGCCTAATGCTCCCCCTGAAATAGGAATCAGAGTAGTATCTTCAGGTGCGGGATAGGCTGCTTCTAGAACCTGACAATGCTTACCAAGTGCTGTGCGCTTTTCCTCGTGGCGGGAGGTGCAAGATGTGACGCTTTGCCCTATTATTTGGAGGGGGCTCTCCTGGGCCTGCCTTGGGCCATTGGACCCCTGGAACTTTTACTAATGTTCCGGGCCCCTGAGTCTTTGTAGTGTTCATCTCCTGCCCTCTGGAGAGCATACATCTTAGCCAGACAACGTGCTACTCATCCCTTGCTTGTCTTGCCCAGTCAATAAGATGCCATCGATAGAGTGGTCCAGTGTGACATCCTGGGGGATGTCCAGATGGCCCAGTGCCTTTGGACCATAGAATGACACACGGTAAGAAACACAGCATGACCCCATGGCAAGACCTTCAACAGATATTCTTGTCAGTCCCATGTGAACGTGAAAGGTCACCGATCCTCTCTTCTGATCAGAATAGAAGAGTGCATTCAGGAAGTCAGCGGCTACCTACTGGACCCGAGTTCTGCTCTGACAATGGCAGCCTGTCCAGTATAGCTGCTTCCCTTAGGGATACTGCTTGGTTGAGCTTGCAAGAGTCTACGGATATTCTCCAGGAGCCGAACTTGTCCATTCAATGGGAGATATGATGGGACTAACACCCCTGCATCCCTTAGATCTTTCAAAGTAGCGCTAGTTTCCACCATCACCCTTGGGATAGATATAATCTTAGCTTGGATTTGCTGATTTGATCGGGGGGATGGGGGTATAGTTCTAGAAGCGTCCATTTGGACCTTCCCACCACAATAGCTCTTACCCCTCAAGCCAAGGAACCCACGTAGGGGTTCTGACAACTACAGATATGTCCAGTTTAATTATGCATTTGTGGACTGGAGAAGTGACCATGGGTGGACCTGTGGACCCAGGGGACCCACTGTGAACAGGACCTGGGGCAGGACTTCAGTTACCACCTTCCCACTACTGTGCTTCTCAGCCCGGCTGGTGCCACTTTTGCCAGCATATTCCTTATTGATTTTGTAAGTTGGGTAGATCCTCTGGCCCTTCCCATAGAACAGAGTCAGCTGATGAGTTTCCTAGACTCATGTAGCATAACTTCTCTAACGTGTCTGCTTCTTTGAGTCCTTTGATCCTTTCTTCCACAGTCCGCCATGGAAGATTTGGCATTTCTGCTTCACTTGGTGTGGGCCACTGTTTTCTCCAAACCTCCACAAGTCATCCAACGGTCCTTGCCAGGGTTTCCAGTTCTGGGTCCTGGGAGAGCGCTCCAACTTCATGTTCCACCTTCTTGGTTCATTGTCCTTAGGACCCAGCTTGCATACTTTTACATCTCTTGTTAGTACACACTGGCCAGATTTTTCAGCTTCTGTATACTGTTTTCTTCCTTTGCAAATGTACCTCTCCAACCAGACGTACTAGGATTTGACCCTGCTTATTGATCTGGTTGCTAAGAGGGGAGGGACGGAGGTTGTGAAAGGGGCAAGCATTGTTTTAAAATGCACCTGCTTCCTTCAAGGCCTCTGTATTACCTTCAAGCAGAGGGAAGGTCTATATTCTAACAAGGAGGAGAAGCCTACCTCTGCAGGCCCAGTCAGTTCGGGTGAAGCAATACATTTAAGGTATTACATGCATCTTCCCAGATATCCCCATCCCGAGTCTAAGGGCTTCACTCTTGGCCTATTAGGGCCCTGATCATGACATAAGAGATGTGCTAGGCCTGAGAATTCAACCTCCTCTGAAGTTTTGTTACACTTAGGATCATACCCTAAGTCCCTGGTCTTCCCCAATGCCTGCCCTCCAGTTGCAGAGGATTAGGGTTTCCTTAAATGTAACCAAGGGGATCCTCTGGCTTCCACATTTTGCTTTGGATTAGCGATCACTCACCCTGAACATATCCCATCTTTCTTCAGCTAATCAATCATTGGTGTTTAGCAAACAGTCACCGGAGTCTGCTGAACATTTCCCCCAGGCCTCTAGAGTACCAGGGACATTTCACCAACTGGTGCACTCCCTTCTGCCAGGATCTCATTACAGTTGACCCTCAGTAAAAGTTACTGATACCCCCACACCCTGGGGTGTGCCACACTGTAATTCTTGTGCTCATGAGAATGAACTCCACACTGCCTCTTTTCCCACCACAGACACATCCAGTATCATGGAATATGCCAGAACATAAGGGTGTGAGTGGTATCCTGCTGGTACCACAGCCCAGACCTGCGGCAGAGTGTGTTATGTGGCTACAGTATGTGGGTGGCTCTCCGTGCCCCCCCAGCAAAGGAGGGTTCCTCCTTGCCTGCTGGCTGCTGGATGACCCAATTCCAGAAAGGCATTAGAGTCTTTTTTGTGGTTTGACATCTCTGGCACACTGGTTTAGGCTGGGTTCTCTGGGATCGGATTTCAAGGCAGGCATTTGTATGCAGGAGGCTTACTGGGAGTGCCTTTAGGATCAACCCCTGTAAGAAAGGCAGGGTTCGGCAGAGGGGGCAGCTGGTCCACAAGGCAGCTGCATCAGAGACTGACTAGGGGGAACCCCTGTGGGTGGGATGGTCCTTCAGAGTCAGCCTATACTGAGGCCAAGAGGCTAGCCTTTGTACTCACCCATGGACCAGAGAGAAGACACGGGCTGCCTAAAGTAGGTCTAACCTTGGCTAAGGCAATTCTCTATGAGAGAAGACAGTTCCCAGTGGAACATAGCCCTAAGATGTCACCAGCTGACACTCAGGGTGCATTGGCTGTGAAGAGGCCATCTGAGCAGAGCACCACAGTATTCACTATACTTAGGGTCAAAAAAGTTTCAAATATGGGGCTCCTGGGTGGCTCAGTCAGTTAAGCATCTGCCTTCAGCTCAGGTCATGATTCTGGGGGTCCTGGGATCGAGCCCTGCATGGGGCTCCCTGCTCGGTGCAGAGCCTGCTTCTCCCTCTCCTCCCCACTCGTCTTCTCCCTCTCTCTCTCTCTCTCCAATAAATTAAATGAAATCTTTTTTAAAACTTTGAAATACAGTGATAGAGTCTACACACATCATTATTTTACAAATGAAAAAATGTGCCGGTCTCAGAGAAATTCTCCTCCAACGCTTGTGAGGGGACAGTGTCAGTAATGGAGTGTGCTTGTGAGAGAGAGGGAGGGAGAGGGAGAGGAGAAAATGGCTGTGCTTGGGGTCTTTGGGGTTTGTCCATGAAGTCTGTAGGGCCCGTTTATGTTGGGTGGGTGTCTGTGTCAGAGACAAGCCTGGGAGTGCCTCCTTTCCTCATCCCTCTTGAGTGAGACCCCTGACTGGAGATGAGTTTCTGCGTGTAGAGAAGCCTGTTGGGTAGGAATCCTGGGCCTGGGGTAGGATGCCGCTGGAAACCCAGCCTGGCCCAGGGATAATGAGGTGGGAGTTCACGCTGCACTCATGGCTGGCTTCCCCTCGCACTCCCCTGGCTGGCTGGCTGCCAGCCACATCCCTCCCTATGCCCATCATTGCTGCCCCCCACCCCCCCCCCCCCCAACCCCAACGGGCCGCTTCCAGTAGAACCACCACCAGCCTGCATCCCTCGATCTGCTCCTCTTTTATCTAGTCGCCCACCCATAGTTGGGTCCCTCAAAGCGCTCAGGCACACGTGGACAAGTGTGATCCTCCATGGGGAAGGGCCAGGGCGCAGAGAGATCCTTCAGGACGCACAAGCAGACACAGGCGACTGAGGCATTCCCCAGGCACACTTCATATATACATATTCTCTACGGTTTTTGGTTTTGTTTGTTTTGGATTTATTGGTGTTTTGTTTTGTTTCACTTTGTTTTCTTGCTGTTTACAAACCTCCATGCAATTCCAAAGTACATTACCGCTTGCAGAGTGCACTCCTCCTTTGGCAAAGCTTTTTGAAGAAAACATTTCTGGGAGTGGTGTGATGAACAAACAACCCTCTGGGGAATGTCTGCCTGCCGGCTGTGGTTTGAGAACTTCGTTTAGAGTTCACAATGTCCTCTGACATTTACACACCTCCAGAAGGGATCACAACAGAACTTATGGTACCCCAAGCACTGTTGAGCTTTGCAAAGTGTTTCAACAATCACGAAGCACTTTATGGCTCTGAAGGGTAAACGGGTCAAAGGAACTGGCCTGGGTTTTGACCTCCTGAGACTGATGGCTGTGCTCTGCTTTTCCTCTCCAGGGCAAAATACTTCAAAGGGAAGAAGATCCATGGAGAAATTGACATTAAAGTAGAACAGGTTAGTTGGGGCAGATGGATCTGCAGGTCGGCTGTCCAGACCGAAAACTGGATGGTCGTTTTGGTTTGATGTGGGTAAATCACGGATCTTTTTTCTCCTTCCTAGGCTGAATTCTCTGATCTCAACCTCGTGGCTCACGCCAATGGTGGATTCTCTGTGGACATGGAAGTTCTTCGGAACGGGGTGAAGGTCATGCGGTAAGCAGAGAGGTGAACTTGGTGTTATGAGATAGGCATAAGGACTCCCTTAGAGCCGTGGGAGCGTCACCCCCCTCTCCACCCATCCTCCTGGGAGCAAGAACTTAGGTATGTTACAATAGCCAAGATATGGAAACAACGTAAGTGCCCCACTAGTGAATGAATGGATAAAGAAGATGTAGTGTGTATACACTATGAAATATTTAGGCACAGAGAGAGAAGGAAATCCTGCCCTTTGCAACAATGTGAATGGACCTTGAGGACATTATGCTAAGTAAGATAAATCAGAGGGAGAAAGACAAATACTGTATGATATCTCTTGTCTGTGGAATCTAAAAAAAGCCAACCTCATAAAAATAGGGAGTAAAATGGTGGTTACCGGGGACTGAGGGGTGATAGAATAAAAGAGATGTTTAGGGGCACCTGGGTGGCTCAGTACGTTGAGCCTCTGCCTTCAGCTCAGGTCATGATCTCAGGGTCCTGGGATGGAGCCCCGCATCGGGCTCTCTGCTCAGCGGAGAGCCTGCTTCTGCCTCTCTCTAAGCCTGCCTCTCTGCCTACTTGTGATCTCTCTCTCCGTCAAATAAATAAATAAAATCTTAAAAAAAATTAGAAGAGTTGTTTAAGGGTATAAACCATCAAATAAATAAATAAAATCTTTAAAAAAAATAGAAGAGTTGTTTAAGGGTATAAACCTATACCTGGAAGATAAGTCCTAGAGATCCAATGTACAGTATAGTGAATATAGATAACAATATTGTATCTTTTTTAAAAAGATTTTTATTTATTTATTTGACACAGAGAGAGAGATCACAAGTAGGCAGAGAGGCAGGCAGAGAGAGTGGGAAGCAGGCTTCCCAATGAGCAGAGAGCCTGATGCAGGGCTCGATCCCAGGACCCTGGAATCATGACCTGAGCCAAAGGCAGAAGCTCAATGCACTGAGCCACCCAGGCGCCCCAACTATATTGTATCTTAATTATGGAAGTTATTAAGAGGCCAGATCTTAATTATTCCCACCACAAAAAGGAAGTGATAATTATGTGACATGATAGAAGTGCTAAATAATGCTACAGTGACAATTCTATTACAATATATAAGTGTGTCTAATTGACATCATTTTTTTAAAAGATTTTATCCATGGGGCGCCTGGGTGGCTCAATGGGTTAAAGCCTCTGCCTTTGGCTCAGGTCGTGATCCCAGAGTCCTGGGATCGAGCCCTGAATCGGGCTCTCTGCTTGGCGGGGAGCCTGCTTCCCCCTCTCTCTCTGTCTGCCTCTCTGCCTACTTGTGATCTCTGTCAAAAAAAAAAAAAAATCTTAAAAGAAAATAAAAAGAAATTAGGGGGGCGCCTAGGTGACTCAGTCAGATAACCATCTGCCTTCGCCTCAGGTCATGATCCCAGAGTCCTGCGATCCAGTCCCATGTCAAGCTCCCTGCTTGGCATGAAGCCTGCTTCTCCCTTCCCCACTTCCCCTGCTTGTGTTCCCTCTCTCGCTGTCTCTCTCCATGTGTCAAATAAATAAATAAAAATCTATATTAAATAAATAAATAAAAAGAAATTAGGGGGGTGCTTGGGTGGCTCAGTTGGTTAAGCGTCTGCCTTCAGCTCAGGTCATGATCCTGGGGTCCTAGGATCGAGTCCTGCATCGGGCTCCCTGCCCAGCCAAGACCTGCTTCTCTCTTTCCCTCTGCTACTCCCCCTGCTTGTGCTCTCTCGTTTTCGTCTCTCTCTGTCATAAATAAATAAAATCTTTTTTTTCAAAGACTTTATTTATTTATTTGACAGACAGAGATCACAAGTAGGCAGACAGGCAGGCAGAGAGAGAGGAGGAAACAGGCTCCCTGCTGAGCAGAGAGCCCGATGTGGGGCTCCATCCCAAGACCCTGGGATCATGACCTGAACCGAAGGCAGAGGCTTTAACCCACTGAGCCATCCAGGCGCCCCTAAATAAAATCTTTTAAAAAAATAAAACGAGGTACAGAATGTGGAAAGATCGCCTCTCTTCTGCAGAGCCAAGGGTCCTAGCAGACCGCAAGCCAAACTTTTTAGATATTAAATCAACAAATATTTCTTGAGCATCTACAGTATGCCAGCTGCTGCCCTCAGCATTTTACATTCAACAAATATTTACTGAGTGCTGATTGTGCACCTGGACCTGTTGCATGTGCTGAGGACCTGGCAGTTAAGAAAACTGACCCCCCAAAAGAGCCCCTGCTCCCCCCCAAAAAAAAAACCCCTCTGCCCTCACAGACCTTGTATTCTACTGTGGGATACATGCAATAAACAAATGAGAAAATGTAAAGTTGCTAAGAAAAAATATATAGCAGCAAAGGGATAAAGGAAACTTTGGATACTGGAGGGGTCTGCAGTTTGGAGGAGGAAGACTGATACTGTGAGAGACATTTTTTAAAAGGTTTTGTTTTTTATTTGCTTGTTTGAGAGAGAGAAGGAGAGAGAGAGAGCCCGCGCAAGCAAGGGGAGAGGCAGAGGCAGAGGCAGAGGGAGAAGCAGATTCTGCGCTGAGCAGGGAGCTCGCCTGTGCTGCTGGATCCCAGGATCCTGGGATCCCCAGAGAGTGGGAAAGTGTGGAAAGGGTGTTGCTGCGGGAGGAAACAGCTTGCATGTGTGTGCGCGCAGACCTGAGCAACCACTTTGCAATTTCTAGGAGCTGCAGAGATTTCGAGAGGTGGTTTTTGTTCTAAGGGTGGTGGGGAGCTCTGGGGGGGTGGGGTGCATATCCTCGACACCTCTCCGCCTGCCACCCCAGGTCTCTGAAGCCGGACTTTGTGCTGATCCGCCAGCACGCCTTCAGCATGGCTCGGAACGGAGACTACCGCAGTCTGGTCATCGGGCTGCAGTATGCCGGGATCCCCAGTGTCAACTCTTTGCACTCTGTCTACAACTTCTGCGACAAGCCCTGGGTGGTAAGTGGCGGGAAGGGCGCTGCTGGCGGAGGGACTATCTCCTGTATGCATGCGTGTGGGAGTTCGAAATCCCTGCGATCTTGGGGGGGTGGGGGGGTGCTCGAAGCTCAGAATCCCAGCTTGGAGACTGTCCCCGCGGAGGGCGTGCTGACCCATCTCTCCTGGCTCTCCCAGTTCGCCCAGATGGTTCGACTGCACAAGAAACTGGGAACAGAGGAATTCCCGCTTATCGATCAGACCTTCTACCCCAATCACAAAGAGATGGTGAGTCTGGGGGCCGTAGGAAGGGCAGGAGGGGAAAGCGTCGTGCCTACTTCGACCTTATTGCCAGGGGACGCATTATTAGCTATGGCGACGGTGTCAGGGAGCGCAGCCAGTGTGTGTGTGTGGGGGGGGCGCGATGAAGTTGCTTCGCAACCTGGTTTATTAATTGCATGAATTTACTGATGGGCTTACAAGTGTGATTGCAGTCATTGATCCTGTTTCTTATAGTATCTTTTCTCACCGGTATTAAAAATCAACTTCTACTGTAAACGAACAGAGCTAATGTAATGAATCAGATTATATTACATATAGAAATCAAGTCATGGTTACTTATATTAGCAAATATGCTTCGTGATAGAAATGTCACCCATGTTGCAAATGAGGATTGGCAATGAAAATCATCACTAGCGATGTTACAAATTAAATTGCTTACCAGGAGCAATTGAATTGTGGGTTACTATGATTGTAAAATAAAATCACCAATATTACAACTTATCACTACTACTACAAATTACTGTTATTGCGGCAAATTGTGAGGACCCGTGTTATGAATCAAATTGCGGTTCCTTACAGAAATTGAATAATCATTACTAGTGTCATTGAAGATCATAACTATTATTACAAATTATTATCAATATTACAAATTATGTTCTAATATAAATTATAAGTCTCTGTTTTGAATTATATTATGCTTACTAGAAATTTCATGATCATTACTAATATCAAATATTATAACTAATATTACAAATTTCTGCCAATGTTACAAATTAAGATTACTAATGTGAATTATGAGTAACTATGTTTTGAATTATCTGGTAGCTTCTAATAGAAATCATCATTAATATGGTTTTAACAACTCCAGTTTATATTATGAATAATTACTAATATTAAAGTTACGAGTACTAATATAATTTATGAGTACCACAGTTATGAATCAAATTTCAATTGCAAATAGAAATTGAACCAGCATTACTGATGCCATCAAACTTTTTTTATAAATTGTTAACAATGTTATAAATTTTGTTTGCTTATATAAATAATCACACCACTTGTGTGAGTTAAATTACAGTTAAATGTCAATATTGACCCAACGTTACCAACTTGGTTAAATAAACATTGGTATCAATATTAAAAATTCTTACCAGCATTACCAATTATGGCCACTGATATAAGTTAACAGTGTTACGAATTAAGTTTTCTTACAGATGAAGATCAAATCATTAGTTCTTAGGAAACCCAATTTGCTTATCATTATTATTATTCATGTTCTTTGAGAGGACAGAATAGCTGACCGTGGTTGAGAGCGTGGACTCTGGCCAGAATTTCTATATTGGAATCTGAGACCTACAACTTATTATCTCTCTAACATAGAAAATGTTACTTAATGCTCTGTGCCTCAGTTTACCCACCTGCAAAATGGGGGTAATAATAGGTCCTGCCTCCCAGAGTGGGTGTGAGAATTAAGTTATTTAATGACTGTAAAGTGGTTAGAACAGTGCGTCTGACTTCTCCCTCAGTGTTAACAAATTTCCCTTCTATTCCTAATTTGTGGTGTATTATTATCATGAAGGATGTTGAACTTTGTCAAATGTTTTTTTCTGTATTTACTGATATGATCCTGTGGGTTTTTTTCTTTTATTGTGTGGATATGGTGTATTATATTACTTGAGTTCCATGCGAGTTGAGGCGCATTGGCATTCCTGGACCATCTCTCACTTGGTCTGGTGTATAATCCTTTTTAGGATTCAGTTTTTAGTATTTTGTTGAGAATTATGGTATCTATAATCAGAAAAGATATTGATCTACTGTTTTCTTATGATGTCTTTGTTTTTGGTATCCGGGTACTAGTAGCCTCACAGAATGAGATGGATAGTGGTCCCTTCTCTTCTATTCTGGGGAAGAGCTGTGGAAGATTAGTGTTAATCTTTTAAATACTTGTAGAATGTGCAGGTGAAGACATCGACATCTAGTCCTGAGCATTTCTTCTTCTTCTTTTTTTTAAGAATTTATTTACTTAGGGTGCCTGGGTGGCTTAGTCAGTTAAACATCTGCCTTTGGTTCAGGTCATGATCCAAGCGTCCAGGAATCGAGCCCCACATCAGGCTCCCTGCTCTCAGGGAGCCTGCTTCTCCCTCTCCCTCTCCCCTCACTTGTGTTCCCTCTCTTGCTCGCTCTCTCTCTCTCTCTCTCTCTGTCAAAGAAATAAATAAATAAGATCTTATTTATTTCTTATTTATATAAGATCTTATTTATTTCCTTGACAGAGAGAGAGAGAGAGAAAGAGAGCACACAAGTAAGGGGAGGGGCAGAGGGAGAGGGAGAAGCAGGCTCCGCGCTGAGCAAGGAGCCCAACATGGGGCTTCATCCCAAGACCCTGAGATCATGACCCGAGCCAAAGGTAGATATTTAACCGACTGAGTCACCCAGGTGCCCCTTCCTGGCATTTCTTTGCAGGATGTTGTTGTTGTTGTTATTATTATTATTACTGATTTTATAGGATTATTCAGATCTTCTAGTTCTTCTTCAGTCAGTTTTGGTAGTTTGTGTCTTTCTAGGAATTTGTTCCCTTCACCTAGGTTTTCTAATTTGTTAGCATACAGTTGTTCATAGTACTCTCTTCAATTTCTTTTCATTTCTGTAGGGTTAGTAGTTACGTCCCCTCTTTCATTCCTTATTTTAATAATTAGTTTTTTCTCTTATTTTTCTTAATCTAAAGGTTTGTCGATTTTGTTGATTTTTTCAAAGAACCAACTTGTGATTTCATTGATTTTCTCTGTTGTTTTTCTATTCTCTATTTCATTTATTTCCATTCTAATCTTCATTACTTATTTTTTTAAGGATTTTATTTATTTACTTGACAGAGAGAGAGAGATCACAAGTAGGCAGAGAATCAGGCAGAGAGAGAGGGAAGCAGGCTCCCTGCTGAGCAGAGAGCCCGATGCAGGGCTTGATCCCAGGACCCTGAGACCAAGACGTGAGCCAAAAGCAGAAACTTAACCCTCTGAGCCACCCAGGCGCCACCGCCCCTCATTACTTATTTTTTATTGAAGTATAATTAACATGCAGTGTTATATGTTAGTTTCAGATGTATAATATAATGATTCAACAATTCTGTATCTCTCTCGGTGCTCATCAAAGATAAGTGTACTCTTAATCTCTTTTATCTATTTTGTCCATCCCCCACAACCCACCTTCTCTCTGGAAACCACCAGTTTGTTCTCTGTATTTAAGAATATGGGTTTTTAAAAAATTATGAACAATTTTAAAGATTGTATTTATTTATTTGTCAGAGAAAGAGAGAAAAAGGACAAGCAGGGGGAGTGGCCGGCAGAGGGAGAAGCAGACTCCCACCTGAGCAGGGAGCCCAACTCGGGACTCGATCCTAGGACCCTGGGATCATGACCTGAGCCAAAGGCAGATGCTTAAGCAACTGAGCCACCCAGGCATCACTAGGCATTTTTTTCTATCTCTTTTATTCTTGTTTTGTTTCTTATTTTTATTTAAAATCAATTAATTAACATATAATGTATTATTAGCTTCAGAGGTAGAGTTTAGTAATTCATCAGTTGCATATAACACTCAGAGCTCATAACATCAGGTGCCCTCCTTAATGCCCATCACCCAGTTACCCCATCCCCACATCCACCTCCCATCTAGCAATCCTGTTTGTTTCCTAGAGTTCAGAGTCTCTTATCATTTGTCTCCCTCTCTGATTTTGTCTTCTTTTTCCCTCCCTTCCCCTAAATCCCACATATGAGTGAAATCATATAGTATGTGCCTTTCTCTGACTTATTTCACTTAGCATTATCCTCTCTAGCTCTGTCCATGTCTTTGCAAATGACAAGATTTCATTCTTTTTAATGGTTGAGTAATAGTCCATTGTAAATATATCGCATTTTCTTGATCCATTCATCTATCGATAGACACTTGGGTTGCTTCCATATCTTGGCTATTGCAAATAATGCTGCAATAAGCATAAGGATATATATTTTTTAAAGATTTTATTTATATATTTGATAGACAGAGATTACAAGAAGTCAGAGAGGCAGGCAGGGAGAGAGGAGGAAGCAGGCTCCCCACTGAGCAGAGAGCCCGATGTGGGGCTTGATCCCAGGACCCTGAGACCATGACCTGAGCCGAAGGCAGAGGCTTTAACCCACTGAGCCACCCAGGCACCCCAGGGATATATATTTTTGAATTAGTGTTTTCCTTTCCTTTGGGTAAATACCCCATAGTGGAATTACTGGATCACATGATAATTCTATTTTTAATTTTTTGAAAAGCCTCCATACTATTTTCCGCAGTGACTGCACCAATTTGCTTTCCCACCAACAGTACATGAGTGTTCCTTTTACTCCCCATCCTCGCCAACACTTCTTATTTCTTGTGTTTTTGATTTTAGCCATTCTGACAGGTGTGAGGTGACATCTCATTCTGGTTTTGATTTGCAGTTCCCTGATGATTAATGATGTTGAGCATCTTTTCATGTGTCTGTTGGGCATCTGGATGTTTTCTTTGGAGAAATTTCTATTCAAGTCCTCTGCCCATTTTTAATTAGATTATTTGTGGGCTTTTTAGTGTTGAGCTGTATGAGTTCTTTGTATATTTTGGATATAAACCCCTTATCAGATTAACCCCTACTGATTTGAAAATATCTTCTCCCATTCGGTAGGTTGCCTTTTTGTTTAACTGGTGGTTTCTTTTGATGTACCAAAGATTTTTATTTTGGTGTAGTCCCAGTATTCTAATTTTGCTTTTGTTTCCCTTGCCTGAGGAGACATACCTATAAAAATGTTTCCATGGCTGATGTCAAAGAAATTATTGCCAGTGTATGTCTCTGGGAGTTTTATGGTTTCGAGACTTACATTTAGGTCTTCAATCCATTTTGAGTTTATTTTTGTGCATGGTGTCAGAAAGTGATCCAGTTTCATTCTTTTGCATGTAGCTGTCCAGTTTTGCCAACACCTGTTGTTGAAGAGACTACCTTTTCCCCATTGTGT